TGCTGATGAGGTTGGAAATGGGCCCAAAAGATCCATTCCGACTTGAGCGAATGGAGTAACAGGCATGTCCATAGGATGGAGGAGGCCTGCTGGTTTGACGGGTGGAACTTTTCTGTGCTGGAAATCAAGGCACGTCTGAACATAGTGTTGAACGGTCGCCATCAGTCTTGGCCAGTAGTATTTCTGCCTCTGCACAACGTACGCGTGTAGCCCAGGTGGCCGGATGTTGGTTCATCGTGGCATGCCTGTAATACTTCACTCCTTAGAGATGTTGGGACGATGAGTAAGTAGTCATTTCCGTGTGGCGTGAAGTTCATCTTATACAGGACGTCGTTGCGCAAGCAAAATGACGAAAGCCCTCTCGCAAACAGTCTAGGTACAGCTGAAGTGCGACCCTCTAAAAAACGTATTATGGGTTCTAGTTCGGGGTCGTCCCGTTGCAGCTGTGCGACAGTTGCCGTGTTTACAACTCCAACAAAGGCTGCATCGTCATCTTCTGCCGTCGCAGGTTCGTATGGCGCACGAGAAAGGCAATCAGCGTCTGAATGTCACTTCCCCGATCTGTAGACCACCGTCATGTCAAATTCTTGAAGCTTCAAGCTCCAGCGCGCCAACCGTCCTAAAGGGTCTCTTAAATTCGTCAGCCAGCAGAGGGAGTGATGGTCGCTGACAACATTAAAAGGACGACCATACAGGTATGGGCGGAATTTTATAACCGCCCACACCACCGCGAGGCACTCTTTTTTCGTAGTGGAATAATTTTCTTCCGCGCGTGAAAGAGTTCTGCTCGCGTAAGCAATTACTCGTTCGGCGCCATCCTGCCACTGCACGAGTGCAGCTCCTAAGCCGACATTGCTAGCGTCGGTGTGCACTGTTGTCGGTGCGTCATCATCAAAGTGTGTGAGGACTGGTGGCTTTTGAAGGCGTTGCCGCAGTTCGTCGAATGATTTTTGCTGCTCTTCATTCGATACGAATGCGACGTCTTCTCTGGTAAGGCGGGTCAACGACGAGGCAATGCGCGAGAAGTTCTCAATGAAGCGTCGGTAGTAATCACACAGTCCTAAAAACCGTCTGACCGCCTTTTTGTCAGTTGGCGCTGGAAAATTCGTAATGGATGCTATTTTTTCAGGGTCAGGCCGCACACCTTCACTACTGACAAGATTCCCCAGGAACAGAAGCTCTTCGAAGCCGAAATGGCATTTTTCCGGCTTAAGTGTTAGTCCAACGGAACGGATAGCTTGAAATACTGAGTGCAGTCGCCTGACATGTTCGTCGAATGTGGTAGAAAATACGATGACGTCATCTAAATACACTAAGCACGTCTGCCACTTGAGGCCTGATAGTACGGTGTCCATTAGCCGCTGAAACGTTGCCGGTGCTGAGCACAAGCCAAATGAAAGTACCTTAAATTCAAAAAGGCCATCAGGTGTCACGAAAGCTGTTTTCTCCCGGTCTCTTTCATCGACTTCTATCTGCCAATACCCACTCCTTAGATCCATCGACGAGAAATAACGCGCGTGCCGTAGTCGATCGAGTGAATCGTCGATACGTGGAAGTGGGTAAACATCTTTTTTTGTCACCTGATTCAGCTTGCGGTAATCCACGCAGAAACGTAAGGTGCCGTCTTTTTTCTTCACGAATACAACCGGCGAAGCCCAAGGGCTTTTCGACGGCTGAATAACGTCGTCTTCAAGCATCTGTCGCACCTGCTTTTCGATGGCTTCACGTTCTCGCGGAGCTACCCGGTACGGGTTTTGCCTGATGGGTCTGGTCATGTCGTCCGTTATAATTCGATATTTCGTCAGCGGCGTTTGACGGACCCTGGAAATCGAAGAGAAACAATCTTCAAACTTGTTAATAAGCTGCATGATACTTTGCTTCTGCGCCGGCAGCAAACTTGGGCCAATATCAACAGATAGAGGTGCAGGGGTGAGATCAGTTGAATTATCTTTTTCCAGAGTTAGGCAGTCTGTCATCTCGGCGAGCTCTTCCACGTACGCGACTGCCATGCCCCTCGTTAGATGTCGGCGTTCAGAGCTGAAGTTCGTAATAAGGACGTGCGTGTGTCCGCATTTTATGCTTACGACGCCTCTTGCGATAGATAAACCATGGCTGAATAGCAGTGTTGGAATTTGCTCGGCGATGTTTTCAGAATCGCTCGACGTGTCACATGTCACAGCCACGAGTGCACTCGACCGCGGTGGTATGGTGACGTCGTCTTCGAAGACACGCAAAGGCTGACGTCGCTGGTCTGTACAGGGCACATCCGAAACTTGGTCTGGGGCCGTCCAAAACGTAACCGATCTCTCAGGAATGTTGATAATGGCACCGTATTCACGCAAGAAGTCCATGCCCAAGATCAGGTCTTTGCAGCAGTCCGGTAAAATTACGAAAGTAGCGACGAAATCTGAACTGCCGATATTAATTCGAGCTGTACATTTGCCCGTCGGCGTCACCAATTGACCCCCTGCGGTTCTAATGTTTGGGCCCGTCCATATTGTTCGTACTTTCTTTAGGCAGTCGGCGAGTTTACGGCTGATAATAAAGAAGTCCGCACCAGTATCTACCAGTGCTGTTATTGGGCGTCCGTCTATACAAATGTCTAGATTGGCGCTTACGATTTCCGTTAATGTCGGTGACGTCGTATCGTCCTTGGTATCGTGCGTCGTACGAACCGTGGTATCATTCGTCGTATCACGTCGTAGAGAAGATGTTGGCGGTGTGATAGCATCTCGACGGGCGGCAACCTTCCCCCCAAAGGTCGCAGCTGTTAGTTTCCTTGACGAGGGCTAGGAGATCTGCCCCGGACCACCTCGGAGTAACTGCGCTGCGGCGGCGAGTTCGGTGCAGGTGAAGGAGAGCGGGGTCGACGATACGGCACTTCGGGTTGCTGTGCTTGCGCGCCTGCACTGCTGTCACGGCGGTTATCGAAATAGGCACGAGGGGAGGTTTGTAGAAAGTTATGATTTCTACGGTCACAGTACGGGCAATTGCGGAAAATATGGCCGGCTCCTCCGCAATGAAAGCAAAGTGGTCGACGGTCAACGGTGCGCCACAAGTCCGTCTTACGGATGAATGGTCGACTGGTGGGCATACCTTGCGACCAAGATGCAGATGTCGGCGGAGTGTACATTGGCGTCGTTTGCATAGGCACGTTGAACTGTGGATACGGCTACGGCGGATTGGGAGCTGGGGCCCACGGCTCGTTGTAAGGCCCTTGGCTTCCGTCACGATAAGCCAGTGGTGACGAGTTGTAGGACACTGGAGTGTGTCGATGGACAGCTGATGCGTAGCTCACAGACCGCTGGTCTGAGGGCGATTCGGGCAACGAAAATGCCTGGCGGAGTTCTTGCCGCACAACTTCTGCAACGCAAGCCATGGTATTTTCTTGCGGAGTCACAAGGAGGTTTCGGATCTCCTCTTGAACGACCTCACGAATGAGTTCGCGCAGAGAACACTCATTACCGGCACTCAAAGCAGAGAGACTGGGAGATGTTTTGATTGGTTGGTCATGGTATCGGCGCCGTTGCTGCAGTGCTCGCTCGATTGTTGTAGCCTCTTTGACAAATTCGGCTACGCTTGTTGGTGGGTTGCGTAGGAGACCGGCAAACAGCTCTTCCATGACGCCCCTCATCAAATGTCGTAGTTTTTTACCTTCAAGCATCTCGGGGTCGGCCCGCTGAAATAGGCGGGTCATGTCTTCCGCAAACATGGCGACGCTCTCGTTTGGTTTCTGTATGCGTGCCTCGATGAGTTGCAAAGCAGAATCACGGCGGTCGGTGTTTGCGAATGTCCCGAGAATTTGCTGCCGAAATTCCTCTCACGAAGACAGCGTTGACTCGTGGTTCTCGTACCACGTACGAGCGCTGTCTGCCAAAGCAAAGTAGACCCGCGATAGCTTTTGCTCAGTGGACCAGCGGTTGGCTTTGGCAACTCGCTCATACTGGGCTAACCAGTCCTCGACGTCTTCATAAACCTCACCGTGGAAGGTCTCAGGAATTAGAGGCTAATCAACAGTAAGCTGTGAAGGCCCTCCGGTAGCCATTTCTCCCGGTACGGTGTGTTGCTGGAGAAGTTCGAGCGGGATCGCCTCGGGACTAAGGCCTCGCTGTCGGCGACTGTAGCGGTGGACAGGAGTATCCACTGCAGGAACGGATTGCGGTGGTGGACTCGATGTGCTAGGGCGCGGAGGTGTCCCAAGCATCAGTTGGAGAAGTCCAGCACCTCCACCAATGTCGTTAGGTGAAAATAACAGAATACAGGACGACGGTGCGACTAGAAAAACCGAGGTCTGTATTAACAGAACAAAAGAGCAGCCGCTTCGACTTCTTCCTCGGAGGAACCGTGGGTGCTGTCCACGCTCATCACTTCATCGTCCTCTGTCTTCTTGCCCGGCCTTTAGCCGTGACAATATTGTTTTAGCGTGTCGCTTGTGACGTGTTTGATTCGGCTGGTGATATCATTGTTTGTAAAATTAGGTTGAATAAATGTGCACGGTGTTTAGTTTGCCCGGCCGCGCCTGTGCTCTATCGTTCTGAGGGTGCCTAATTCGCTATTCTACAACTTAGCGTTGTCGAATGTGATGCTCAGTCCATTTCCTAAAAACGGATTACATGCCCCTCGGTCTTTTCTTATTGGCCATAGACACTGTCATTGCTGTACAGAGTTGCTGCCCAGAAATTCACACTTGTTCACAGTTTCTGAAAATATTTAGAAATATCTTGGGGAACGAAAGCGGTTCGCAGCGCAAATGAAGTGCAGTGCACACGGGCCGTGGGAGGAGGGCGCAAACGACCTTTTCCAAAATGCATGCTGTAAATGCATACACACACACACACATGTATTGCCTAGCCAGTTCAGTATAGGATCAAGCCATTGGCCTTAGAATACATCAAAAGCGTCATGTTAACAGGGACGAACGGGCTGTGGCCGGCTCTTTTTACAGTATCGTTCCAGGGTTTCGTTCCAACTTAAGCATTTGTGTTTTCTTTCCTTTTCAGTTTATTTCAGTGCCAACACTGTGCCGAGGTCATGAAGCTGTGACCGACCTAGCACTCCGCCTTCTTTTGTGGATGCCGTTCATCGTGTGTATAATATGCGCCAAGAAATTGCACCTGCACACGAGAAACCTTGGCTGAAAACGTGTCTTTGAAAGCTCCAGGACGATAACGCAAAAGTTGATCATTTTTTTTAACGCGCATCATCGGTAATTTTCTGAAGCTCTTGATGTACCGCCCGCGCCCAGCCCAAAGGCGGAACAGCGTTTTGTGCCTCAAGGTTCTCGCCATGCTGTTGCGTAGGGTGAACACGGGGTGAGGGTGAGGAATTCAACTGAATAAGGAACCACGTGAAGCAAATAGACGCTATTCAACGCACCTGTTTGCGTCGTCTGAGCTGCTTGCGAATTTCTTGTACGAAGCTGAGTGAGATTGTAAATAAAGCTGTGTACGTGGGTGAGCTGTACAAACCTTTGTATTAAAACAAAAATGACCATTCTTCGGCTGTCACGCAAAAGTGCCGTACACTGAGCTGTACATACTACCGGTTAATAAACCAATTTGTATTGAGCGCTCGTCCCGTATTCTTGTCTCTCCTGTCTTGTCTCATGTGATCTGCTTTTAGTTTAAGACCAACTTGCCCAGATGCAAAGAATTCTATGAGAAAGTCGAGCTGTCAAAGGGTTCTAACACAGGAGCATACAAAATAAGCGTCATATGTGTGGGTGTAGTACATACGAATGAAGAAGTGAAAATTTAAGGGCTTATTTGCACGTTAAATACATTATAAGTGAGACCTGAGAATGCCAAAGAAAGTATAAAGAATGTTGTTAGTAATAAGTATAACCTGTGGGTATGTCTACGAAAACACAACATACACATATAAACTGCGAAAATTCCGCGGGTTGGAAGGTTCGAACGCGTCATCTGACCACATCGCTGCACAGAATCACGTCATATAAATCGCAAAGTTTTATCTATGATGCTGGCTTATCTCTGGCAGCGGCAATGTCCTATAGAACTAATTGATGTCTTTAGAAATGTTAAAAATTATCTGTGGTAAAAAATTTACGGAGCCCTCCACCACGACGTCCCTCATAATAACACCATGGTCTTGGGACGTGACACATCAAATATCATTATCAGAAATAGTAGTTTGTAACCCAACAGTATTATAGGACCAATGTCTTCAGTGCCGTAAGCAGAAATATTTTCGGAGGGGCGGGCTGCAACCCCCAAGCTCTTCCGGTAGCTGATGTGGTGACCACCAACAAATCAAGCGAAAATTAAGACTCGGCAGTTTCCAGCGGGTTCTCCCCTGAACTATTCAACTCCCTCGACAGGTTGGGAGGGGGACAACGAGGAAATACGATAATAAGGTCAGTTGGAATTCACGCTGTCCGCTTGCCTTTATTTACCGCACGTACACGCTTCAGGAGGATGCTACAAGCATGCGTAATGAACAAACGTGAGGCACATTGGCTCTGTCAATTTTCGACTGGAGCCACGAACCTTTCTACCGGACCCCAGAAATTTTGTGGCTTTTGGACCCAGCAAGTCACCCAGACTATGGAGACATCTAATTAATCAAGGTGGGCCTATATTTTAACAAATATGAGCGACTTCGCCATCTCTCCTCACGGCGACTAAGCCGAGTCTCATGGCTCAGCTGGCGTCCAGCAGCGGGGAAGTGGACGCTCATGCCAAAATGGACGCTTGTTTAACTCAACGCGGCTACGACTCAGAGAAAATTACATGGTCGACCATTTCGCAGGTCGGCTGGGAATCATGATTTGGCAACAACGAAGCCCATCCCCATAGAAAATCTGTTTAGTCTTGCGGAGAGGCGCTCTCAGCGACAAAATGCCAATATTATGGTGAGCCGCCCAGGCCACTTTCGGCAAGCAGCCATCCAGGCCACCCGCTCCTAGCTCGCGCAAGAAAACGGGGCATGCCAAGCCAGCGTGGAAGCCGAAGCCCCTTCAGAAATGCCACCCGGGCGACAGTATAGTTGTCCTAAAGCTCCAGACTACCCTGGCGCTCGAAGCCACTTTCATACCTAGTGAGTTCGGCTTGTCCTTACGCACTTACCTTGATGCGTGGCAGACCTCAGCTTTGTGCCCTCCCGTGAGCAGAACCTTCTTGTCACAAGTACCCTCTACGTGGCTGACTGCCTTTTTGGAAACTGCGTCATCATCGGGCATTTCTGCGGAAATGTCCGAATAAAAATAAATAAAAAAAAATAAAAAAAAACGGCACTAAAAGACGTGGCCCTCCATGTCCATCTCAAACAATATGACGAGGATGTCGGATATGGCGTCGTCTCCGTAGATAATATTGATACCGATGAAACCCTTAATAATAGCATTTAATGGAAGCAGGGTACTCTCCTCGGCATTCGTAAGTTTAGTAAGTCCAACAAAACCCGACTCATCTTCGCCGGCAAGGTCAAGTTACGGCCTGTCCTTTACAACTCGGAGATCACTGTCTGGCCCTACCTTCGGACCATCCCGGCTGGCGGCGCGTATAGCACCATGGGACCCAGGGCGGACACATTCCCCAATCCAAAGCAAGATAGCTGTGGCCTGTGTAGACAACAGGCGCCATTTGTCTAGGGGGTGCGGGCCCCTCACGAGCGTAACGCGAAAGTTTGTGGTGGTGGCCACGCTACGACCTTAGAGGAGCTGTGTGGAGAAATACCGCACTGTCGCCAAATTGGCCATTTCAAAGGACGGAAAGACCAACCCGGCGTGGAAGTCACTGCCATGTCAGCTGGCACACAGCTTTGGCAGCGGTGATGACTCATCACAACACAGTGATCATAACTCGACGCCTGTGCCAGCCCCCAGAAACGGGATGGGTGGATGGATGCTATAAGCATCCCCTTTATTTCACAGAATCTGAACTGGTCTTCTCGCGTTAGTAAAGTAGCTAACAATGCTACGAGAGCTCTTGGTTACGTTCGTCGTAACATACATCTTGCTCCTTCTTCAGTCAAATTTATTAGCCTACAAAACCTTATTCGCCCAAAACTAGAATATGCATCCGTCATTTGGGACCCACCACAATGTAAAATGAATCCATTGAACTAGTTCAAAACCGCGCAGTTAGGTTCATCTATTCAGATTATTCATATCATACCAGTGCCACTACCCTTAGAAGAAATGCAGGTTTACCTAACCTAAACCTACGCCGCAAAATTTTTAGACTGTCCTTGTATCAAAATCTATCGTGCGTTTCATTATAACTCCCCCATTCAACCAGCCTATTGTACTTCAGCCCGCACACAAGGCCTTCTAGTTACCTCCTGCTTGCATCACAGTCTACCATCGTTCCATTTTTGCTCAGACAGCCTGGGGCTGGAACTAACTTCCCTCAAGTGTCATCGACCATTCCATCAGAGATCAATTAAGGAATGTCTTAGAATCACTGTTTTATTAACTCTATATTGTTTGCCTATTCCCTCATGTAGAGCCCTAGCAGAGGGCATTTGAGGTATAACAAAATGAAGAAATGATTTGAATACTTACTAACGGGGCAGTGCGCCACCAGGCTGACAAAAAAATGATTTTTTTAATATTGACCTAATGCCTTTTATACTTCGATTCAATCGATTTTATCCTATAACAAAGAAACAATATAAATTTATGTTCCCTTTCTCTGCCTCTTCAGGCAGGATCACGTCATTTTCCCACTATTTCTGTCTTTTATCTCTACTTTTCTGCCACCAATACTCTAACCGTCTCTTACTTGCTTCTATCGCGAACGTGTCCAGCTTTCCATGTCTGTCCCTAATACCCAAAGCCTCCTGTAGGCTTGTACCCACACGTATACCTGGGGTGCATCACCACTACCACCCCCACACGGCTCCCAAGGGAACCAGAGCTGCTCCCAGCTGCAGCAACTCTGGAAGCAAGGCGCGGGTGACGTCTGGGCAACCATCGTCAAAAATGGCAGAAACGTGAGTGGCACGAGTAAGGCTGCCTCCTCGTTCCCGTCTCCTCCATCATCCCTTTCCCGCTGAACGGATGACGCTTAGCTCCACAATCTAGTGGCATTTTTCTAGGCACAAAACGAGATGCTCCTAGCCAAAATTGAAGCCCTTGAAAAGCAATCCATTCGCACCTCCCCAACTTGCCCCACACGCGGAATCGATGAAGAGTGCAGCGGTGCCCCGGAGACTCTAGAATCTTTCATTGCTGCTCTTTTAGGCTCACCTCAAAACCAAATATGCCACCATGGTGAACACATTGGCTGCACAAGTCATATCTCAAATTACTAATCAATTAAATGCTCATATTAACGCTCAAGTAGCGAAGACCCCAACATGCTTGCTCGCACTGCGCGCAACGGTAGCCTCAAGGAGTTATCTGGCCACCCAAGCAAGTTTTCTCATCGCGAGATCCTTCTCAACTACGATAGTGGCTCCTTCTCTGGTACAGAAATATAGACCCAAGGAGCTGGCGCCGAAGCTACGGCTCTCTCAAATGTAATTCCTTATACAGATAATAGCAGGACACCCTCCGCGTAGGCAATCTCCCAGGTCTAAATTGACTTCTCTCATCATAGCACAATGGATAGGTAGGTAGGTAATCAACTTCATTGATTCACGATAGAATCATTTGAGGGAGGTGGCAGGGGGAGAGGACGCAGAATGACGACGGACCCTCGGGTCACTTTAGGTGGTCGGACACTGCTGCGCTTCAGCGACCCTTCTGGCCCAGCTCATTGTGCGGAGCTGTAACCCCGGTGGAACTGTCGGGGACTTTGGTCTCGTACTAAGCGGGCAAACCTCCAGATGAACATTTCAATCTTTACTCAAACGCTGGCCGAGGTGGCACTTCAGGAGCCAGGAAAGGGCACCACCTTGCATAATTATACATCGTTCCAAGTACAGTTACTGTATATGCTAACTTTAGGTAGCAGAGTTGCACCAATGTTTTCCAGGCGCCGCTCGCTCCGCCTACAGGAGTTCAGCGATGAATGGATGGATTGATATGGCTGTACCCTTTAGATCGGGCGGTGGCTAACACCACCAAGCCGTAATACTTAGTGAACCAAAACTATATTTATTTCTTCCTTTAAATAGTCAGGTTGAGGACTGGTACTTTGCAGTGAAGGGTTTAATTTTCACTCGTACCTTGACTTTAGCCACCAATCAGATAACCTCCTTTTAGTTAATTCTACCCGCTTAAAGTCTATTTTGCCCTCCCTGTCCCTAAACCCAACACCTCCTAAAATTCTTCAGGCCTGCACCTCACCTGACATGACGTCAGCTACGTCATCACTCGCCGTCCGACCGGTCCTGCGGGAGCGCGCCGCTTCTGGCACTCCTCTCGCAGTGAACCAGTTGTATCTCAGCAATATTGTTTTCTCTCGCATTTGAATGTCTTCAAAGGGTATTGTTAATTATAAGAAACTTGTCAAACATAGAAACTTCCTGTAGTAAGAGTTAGTTTATCAAACATGTACACACGAAACAGGGGCACGAAGCAATGATCAAAAACACAAATAAATGAACATACTAATGAAAATTACAAATAATACATGAGCACTTTATTTTGGAGCAACAGTTTTCAATTTC